CCATGTATGTTGATATACTTATTCCATGATAATTCTATGTTTATCCTTTTGTGTGATGTAAATTAAATGCTGAATGGCGGTTCATGCAGGGAAAGAACATATCAATATTCGCATATTCATTCAAAAACATAAAAATTCTTAATGGAGTACCCACATTTCTTATTGAATTCCTAAAAAACAATTTTTATAATGAATTTTAATAATTTTTTCGGATTTTTTTGAAGCTTTATTCTGACCGATTCACCCGATTCCCGATCCGGATTGTTGATTCGCCGATCCTAATCGGTTTTTTGGGAGCCCAATCCGGGTCACCGATCCCTTTTTTAAACCATTGGTTGATATGAAAACTCCTTCCTAAATATAATACTTTCAAAAAGACTTAGTCCCAAAGAAAAAGAAAAAGAAACAAAAACAAAAGTCAAACCAAAAACTTCTAATCATAATTATCCAGAGCGAATTGTAGTGGTGGTCCAACTAGTTGGACCGCCAACGGGTATGTTGGCTGGTTTTGTCTAAGATAAAAAATAGTGATTGGCTAAAAACTAATTAAAGTTAATGCTTAACTGGTTTTGACGGATTCGACCAACCGGTTCAACCAGCTAAATGAAGTTGGCAAAATTTTAATGCCTTTTATAATTTTAAACTATTATATCTATTTTATTTTATTTTTACTTTTTTTCCAAAATCCAATCCAACTGGTTTGGCTAGTGGTAGAACCGATTTTAATTAGACGAAATACCTCAACAGTTCAGTGGCCAGTCCAATCTTGATAATTCTATTCTAATATTAGAATACCCAAGCTAACTTTCATAACCAATCAATTAAAAAAAAAAAAAAAAAGGTTGTACTTTCAATATACTAGTGGGCAATGCAACTTGGCCAAATAAAAAAAAGAAAGAAAGAAAAGGTTCGGACCACTAAAAGTGTGTGTAGCGTTTCTTTCATTGACAATGGTTGCATAAGGTGATATGCAGTTTAATGGGGTAAATAAGTTCAGATTCATTTTGATAATTTTTTGTGAAAATTTTGTATAGGTTTTTAATTCTCTATCGTATTTCACAGTAGATCCTCTTTCTATTTTTCTTTCAAACGGCATAAAAAACCCCTCAAGTGTTTCACCGTACCCCTTCATCTCTTCTCTCCCATGTTTATTCACTTTTGGCCACAAAAACTAGCCCCGACAAATTATTTTATTCCATCTCAATCCAAAAGCTTTTTTAAAAAGTGAAAAATAGGGTTAAAAAGGCTTTTGGATTGAGATAGAATAAAACAATTTGTTGGGGCTAACTTTTGTGGCCAAAAGTGAATAAACTGGAAGAGAAGAAATGAGGGGATAGGGTGCCACTTGAAAGAAAATAGAAAGAGAGTCCATCGTGAAATAAGATAGGGAATTAAAGGTGTGTATGATATTTTCCCTAATTCTTTTGTTTAGAGTCGATTCAGGCGATTCTATTTGACTTAGGCTTTTTAAAACCTTGATATTGCAGCCTAAATTTTCGTGGTAGTCAATGTGATATGGAAAAATTGGTAGCCAAAATAGCTCCTAAAAAATAATAGAAGAATCCAAGCAAGTCAATAAGTTAGGGATGGGGTTTCTATCAGCCGACTCATATTGTACCAGTGCAGGGCCCCTATTAAACCATCTTAAAAATGAATTTTTAATCTAAAATTTTAGAGATTCATGATCTAGGTTAAGATGATCATGAACATGAAAAAGTAATACAATTTTTTATATTTAAAATGTGATATTTTTTATAAAAATTTCTATACGGTATAAGCTTTATGATTTTTTTACAACCATCTTAAAGTTGGATGTTGTCGAGTTAGCAGATTTTTGCACCCGCTACTCATGAAGGACTTTTAAGTTAGAGTTGTAGTCTGTTAGTAAAAAAATTGATGGAGCGCAGATGAGACCAAAACTCGAGATCAAAGGGCGGGGGCAGAGGGTGGTGTGGCGTGAAGCAGGTAATCGTAGAGCCTGGATTTTAATTAAGAACTACTCAATAGAGAGAATGGTCAGTTGTTAAAGGCTCTGTAATTTGCTGGATCTTTTTTTGTATCTCCTTCTCTCTGACTTCCCTTATTTATAGGGAAAAGATAGGCCAACGTTCATCTGTCTCCAACGGGTCTCTGAGAAAAAGTCTTCTCTGATTATAGAGATACTCATCCATATTAATGTTGGAGAAAAAAAGGTTTTATAATATAAATAATTATTTACACTTTTATGAATGGATAATTATAATGAAACATAGGATTTTTCCAAGTCCACAATTGTAGGCAAAACCATGTGAAGCCTCATGACCATAGGTGTCAATATCTCCCACTTGGTTATGACGGCCGAACATAATAATAAGCCACATGCATACTCCCACTTTTGAGTATGACCTTTAATAAAATATTTTATCATGAGGTTTTTCTCACGCTTTCGCGGATATACCTCTCATAAAAAATGTCCATCATAAAGATTTTCAAGCTAATGCAGATTTGTCTCTCATGAAAACTGATTGACTTAAATATTTTTAAGTCCTACTAAACTAGTGTGCTTAGACAGTAGTTCAACACTTAGCTCTAATAGCAATTGAAGGTGTGTTTCAGAGGTTGAATCATATATTTTTTTTATTGCCTCCAACATTTCTTAAATGTTTCATGATGTTCGAAAACCTTAATACAGTCATCTTACATAAAAGTTAACATAGTTGTTTTTGCTATGAGTTCATTTTCTAAAAATTTTCTAACTTTTTCTTTTCTTCTTCAGTTAGTTTATCACCAACTACTAAAAAATTGATGGAGCGGGATGCGACCGAAACCCGAGCTTAGAGCTCATATTTTAATTAAGAACTACACAATAGAGGGAATGGTCACTTTTTAGAATCTCTATAATTTGTTATGTTTTTTTTTATGTATCTCATTCGTTCTGACTTCCAATATTTATAGGGAGAAAATGAGCCAACATACATCTTTCCCCAATTGGTCTCCCTGATCTCAGGGATACTCATCCATATGAACGTTGGAGAAAAAAGGGCTTTATAATATAAATAAAGAAAAAGTTTATATAAGGTTGCAAGCTCAAAATCCAGAATTATAGATGCACCTCAAAAATCCATTGGAAAAGTTGTTTTAATGTTGAAAAAACTTCTAATTGGTCATTGAGATGTATAACTACGGCAAAAAAAAAAAAATTTGATTCTAGAAAATAGTACATCTTGCAATACATTATCTAGACTGTTAATTTTTAAGATTTTCATTTATTTATAAATCTACTCGATTTTAACCATTTTTTGAATTTAAACTTTTATAATTAGGTATGAAAATAGATTTTGAGATAATCCTAATAATTTTCTTCACCAAAATTACATGTTAAGATACAATTTGGAGGTGTGTCTTAATTGGATTGTTTAAAGTTGCAACCTTATAGAAACCACACCTTATAAATAATTATTTACACTTTTATGAATGGATAATTATAATGAAACATAAGTTTTGTCAAAGTCCATAATTGTAGGCAAGACCCCGTGAGGCCTCATGGCCATATGTGTCAACATACTCTGCATCTTATTAATTAGTATATGCCAATACATGTAAGATAGTGGTCACCATGGTGAACTCATACCAGGCGTCCCTTGTCAGACAAATGGCTACTATTAACCCTCTTCTAATCATGCTAGCTAGATCGCGCGAACAAAACAACCAAGGGTAATGGATGTTCACAATAAATGCTACATTTACAAAATCATCATCATTATTATAATCTTTTTTCAACTATTTAGGGTATGTTACATGAATCTTGGTTCGCCATTTTGCTCTATTAAGAGCCATGCCCTTAGCAAGGTTATAAACCCCTATATCTTTTATCACTATTTTCAACTATGCCCTTTTGGTCTTATGCCTTGCTTTTTTTTAACTTTCCACTTGAACCAACTCACACCTCCTAAGAGATGTCATACTAATTACATTTACAAAATCAAAGTTTTAAAAATTCGATCAAAGTGTCAAATCAGTCATCGGCGAACCAATTCAAATCAATAAATTGGTTGGTTGAAATTTAGTTCATAAGGAAATTTTTTATAGAAAATGAAAGATAAAAAAATAGAAAAATTCAAACTGGTAGCAATAGAGAGGGCCGGCCCGGGCCATTTGTGAGCCTAGCCCCACCCTTGTTGCCACCGGCCTAGGCTTGGCTGTGCATGCAAAAAATAAATGAAGAAAAATAAAAGAAAATAAAAGAAAAAAGAGAGCCGAGCGAGACCGAACTAGGCCAGCACTGGCCATAGCCCAACCCTTGGACCACAGTTTGTGGCCTAGGTCCTATCTTCGGGCCAGGCTGGGCCGCCTTGCCGATTGCCAGCCATAAGCAAGGTGAATCGAGTATTTTCTGAACCGGACTAATACCCCATCTCTCCAAACCGGGCATTGCAATGCGCTTTTGAGACAGCTACACGAAACCGATGGATATGATACACAGTGTCCAAAGTCTCAAGTCCAAGCTAAGCTTTGCTTTGGCGTCACACTAAATTAATCTCTCGATGTCGGAATCTTACATCATCTGCTCCTTATTTTCTCTCTCTTCGACTTTATTTCTCGCTCTCCTTTTCTTCTCTCTCCTTTTCACTTTCATGGTTTTTCGCTCTCATCTCTACATATTATATCGTCTCTCTCTTTTGTCTGAAGGGGTCTTCTTTTCTCATTTCTATTGTAAACCCAACAACCCATCTTCCTCTGCAACTCCTCTTTACTTGAAAAACACAAAAGAAAAAAAAGTGAAAAGTAAGACAAAAATGTCTTCCCCAAGCAAGCGTCGAGATATGGACCTAATGAAATTGTAAGAAATTTCTCAATATTTTTCCTCTAATTTGACTCTCAAATTGGATACTTCTCTTTGACTCTCACTCTCCTTTCTTAAAAACTTTCAATTTTTTTTTCTTTGGGTTCTCAGATATCTTAACGTTGGCTTTTTTTGTGGTTAACTCTCTCACTCTAATTCAGAATGATGAGTGATTACAAGGTAGATATGATAAATGATGGAATGCAAGAGTTCTATGTGGATTTTCATGGACCCAATGAAAGTAAGTCATCCAACCATCATGCTAAACTTCTAACATCATGGTCATCATGGATGTTCAGTTATACGGGTATATTTTCTCCCATAAGTATCTGCCTTGTTTGATTTAAGTAATCTTTATTCATAATAGGATGATTTTCACTCATCATCATCATTTTTTGTCCAGTAAGTTGTATAATCAGCATGTGTTCCAATCATGATGCTCATGATATTTTTTTGCGTTGATTTTGATTTACCACATGGGTTTTTTCTAGGTTGACGAATGAGTTATGTATTTGATCATGGGGTATTTAGCACGTACTAATCATGCACATCATCATCACCATCAACAACTTCTTCCCCAATAATGTTGCCCCATAATTTTTTCATAGGATTTGTTCCTTTTTTTTCTATAAAGCTGGAACTTTTTTTCTTTTCTGTTGGGTGGATCAGTAGCTCTAACACTTGCTTGACTATGGAAGGTCCATATCAAGGAGGCGTGTGGAAGATAAGGGTGGAGTTGCCAGATGCTTATCCTTACAAATCTCCATCAATTGGGTTTGTCAATAAGATTTACCATCCTAATGTGGATGAAATGTGAGATTTGTTTTTTTTTTTTTCTTCACTTTGCTTTTTTATTTATTAATTTGTTGGGTTTATTTTGTCTAGTAATCCGCTGCATAGAACGAGTATTTATGGTCTCCTTTTATGGGGCTTCTATGCTTAACCCTGTTTATACACTTGGAATTTCAGGTCAGGTTCAGTGTGTTTGGATGTTATAAATCAGACATGGAGCCCCATGTTCGGTAAGGCTACTGATTAGACCCTCTTATTCTGCGGTACTTTCTGTCTCATAATCAACAATTAGAAATATTGCGTAAATTTTTGAACTTTTGAGGTATCAAACTCCGTTGCTACCTTACAAATTTTATTTTCTATTCTTATTTGAGGTTTTATATTGATGGACATTAACAAAACTCATGGTTTATTTTCCTGGAAAAAAAAAAATCATTGACGACAGATTCTACTGATTCGAATTATCTCACTCCTTTTTTGTTCTATGATCTTGGAATATCAAATTTTCCCTTATATAATGTTGGGGTTGCTTAGGGCTATTTATTTGACTTTTCCTAAATATTTGAAGAGGATTATATCTCCCTGTATATGTGATTGTCTTTGTACTTCAGAACTTGTGAATGTTTTTGAAGTCTTCCTTCCTCAACTTCTCCTGTATCCTAATCCAACTGACCCATTGAATGGAGAGGCTGCTGCTTTGATGATGCGTGATAGGACTGCCTATGAGCAAAGAGTCCAAGGTGCTCTCTCTCTCTCTCTCTCTCTGTATGTGTGTGTGTGTGTGTGTGTGTGGCTGGCATATATATTGCTAATGATGTCCTAAGAGCTGATTTGCAAGAGAATCACATTTATGATGTTTTCTTTAATAAAATGTCAAATAGCCTAAGGATGGTTTGTTGTCTTGGTGTGTTTGAATTGTTTCTCATTAAACAATAGGCAGTGTTTTATTTTTATTAAGCATCATTTTGTGCACGTGAGAGATAGGTACGAGGGAGCACTAACTAGTGTGCAAGCAACTAGTGGAGAGACGAATGAGTTTTCAGTGACAATAAGTCTTCATCAGGCGTCAGCGTTGAGCCCATACCTCTTTGTCTTAGTTATGGACAACTTAACTAGGCACTTACAAGATGAGGTACTGTGATGTATGTTATTCGCGGATGACATAGTTTTGATTGATGAGACCCAAAGCAGCGTCAATACAAAGTTAGGGCTGAGGACAGATGCTCTAGAATCGAAAGGTTTTAAAATTTGCCAGACTAAGACATATAATATGGAATGCAAGTTTAGTATAACAAGAGTAGAGATGAGGAAATAAATATTGACGACCAAGAAATACCAAAAAGAGCACACTCTCGATGACTTGAGTCGCTAATCCAGGAAAATGGAGAGATTAAGGATGAGGTTGCACATAAAATTAGAGCTGGGTGGGCAAGGTGGAGATGTACAACTGTAGTTTTATGTGATTGCCGCATGCCAACAAAGTTGAAGGGGAAATTCTATAAGATAGTTGTGAGACCAGCTTTGCTTTATGGGGCAGAATGTTGGGGGATCAGGAAACAACATACCCATACTCATCTCATAGTTGTGGGATCCTTGGAGCAAGGCCACAATCCTACCTTAAGAACTCGATCCCGTGGTGCCTGTAAGGGATCTTAGAGGGAGATGGGTTTAGAGAAATAGGGATCTCGCTCCGTATAAAATGGATCACGGTCTACATGCTTGTAGGATCTCTTCAAGGAGAGGAGCTATATTATTAATTGAACTGCTGGTTCTCTCCTTGGTATTATAGATTTATTTCATTAGAATATGTTAAACTGTGATGCATATCACATCGTGGTATACTACAAGTTTAGAACTATGGAACTATGGTATTGACAAACTACAGTTTAATATCATAGCAAGCCCATTTATGTTATTATTAAACTATGTTATGGTCGTAAATTGGAGTACAATAGCTATGGCATTGGTAATAAGATAAGGTGTATGATAATGGATTGAGCAGGCATTGGTTGGATCCTAATTTTATTATACAATTAGTTTATCTCATTTTATGTATAGTGGAGCTTAGATCCCTCCAAGTCAAAACCTCGAGCCCGACGACATGGGATATCGCTCCTAGGTATTCTAGGATCTAGCTCTTTAAGTTGTTGAATGTATGGGTGCTGATCCTAACCCCAGGAAGCTTCCACCCTAAGGCGGTTCGACGTTCCGTAAACCGATTCTGCTCCTGAACCTGCTCCCACTTCCAACAACTATGGGATGAGTATAGCTGCAATGATGATGTTGAGATGGATGAGTGACAAAACAAGAAGGGATACATTCGAGAGAACTTAGATGTGGCTCCAATAGGTGATAAGATGAGAAAAAATAGACTTAGGTGGGTTGGCCATGTACAACACATACCCAATACAACACCTGTTAGGAGGTGCGAGTTGGTTCAAGTGGAAGGCTCAGAAAGGGTAAGGGATAGACTCAAAAGGACATGGTTTGAAGTAGTGAGAAAATATATGGCGACTTATAGCCTCACTGAGGATATGGCCCTTGATAAAGTAGAATGGCATGCGAAGATTCGTGTAGCCGACCCCAAATAGTTGGGAAAAGGATCGATGATGATGATCGTTTTGTGTGTGTTATGTGTATTATTAATTCAAAATAACTAGTAACGATCTTGAATCTAGAACTTGGATTTGCAATAGAATTTCATTATATCGTCATAGCTGCATGCTGTAATCATTATACATTGAAAACTCGATTGCTATTAGCTGGAATCTTGGTAGTGCTATACATTTTGGATGATAAATTTGCAATTTATGAAATTGTTTATTTTTTTATTTTTTTCTATCTACTCGTCTGTAGCCTTAGTGGCTTTTTCCTATTTATGGTTTTGCACATGTAGTTTTCAGAAGAAATTGCTCCTCTCACGGATTATTAATATTTATAGGCAGAGCCCATATCTACACACTTGGACTTGGCTCAGGATATTTTCTGCTCTCAAGTCTGTCTATTCAGCTTGTGACTATTCTGAGTAAAAATCAAATTTTTTTTGGAGTAATCTATAAGACTTAGTTAACCCGTTGTGATCTTAACGATGTCCTGATTCCTGAACCTGAGTTCGTAAACATCTACTTCTGTTGAGCATATCAAACTGACTGATTTGATTCATTTAGACTGAGACCACCTATTATCCAGTTTGTTTGACATTTAAGCCAAGCAAACTGAGGAATCTGAGTTGCATTGACTGGTTAGAATTTTGGGATTGTATACTACGAGACCGTGTATCACAGAGATCACAATCACCTCTAGCCATTAGATAGAAAATTGGATAGCTTGGGTGTCATGAAGTTCGAGAATTTTTTTTTTTTTGAACTGAGTCTAGTCCATGACACTCTTACAACCATCCATTTTGATATCTGATGGACAAGAGTGTATGTGACCTCCTTGTCCTAAAAATAAATCATCTCTTTGTATAATTTTCCTAGAATTTTTATGCCATTATTTTTTCCAATTGTATTTTTTTATTTCCCTTATTAACCAATTCGGCAGGTTGGACTGCGTTAAGCTAGATAGACCTATTCAAACATTTTTCTGGTTTTATGTCATGTCTGGTATTTATGACTTCTCTTGTGATGGTTCAATTTTTGATACTTCAGCATCGGCTATATTTATGATCTTTACCGGTATTTATGTTGTAGAAAATGATGGCATTACTATTCATGTGCAAAGTGTAGGTGCGTAGCTTGCCCTTGTGACGAGCCCGTGCACAGTGCAATGTGCACTACATCCGCTCAACACACATGCACACTGAGCACTGTTCAATGTTAGCCAGATTAGTCAACATTGACTGCAGTGCACATCATTCATTATGCCACGTGACAATACAGAATCACAGATTATAAATGTTGTCAGATGTATGCAAAAGATAAATAATATAGCTTCTCATTCTTTTTTTAGTGATAATTACTATAGTTTGATATGATGGTTGAATTGCTTGTGACAAACATATTAGTATGTCCTTCTGACTCTTGTATTTTTGGTGACTATTAAAGAAGATACTAGGTTATTTCATATGTCACAGAGATGGCCACAAGGTAATCAGTTGTTCATTATGCCTATTGGATGACATGGAATCTGACCCACAAAAGTAGGTAAATTAGAAGTTTAATCTCAAATAGGATAGTGCCTAATTAATTTCCTGGCCTTATGGTTGGACTTCAATGATTGGTTGATGCATGTTGTTCCACTAGATTCTTTGGGTCAGTTAATTTCCAAGATAATTGTGAAGGGACTGTAAATTCTATGCCCTCTATGAAAGGTCGACATTGTTACTTCCATATATGTAAAATGGTTTCCTTATTTACTACATCTGAACACGTATTGAGATTCGTACGTATTACAATGAGTTAAATGGTTTTACAGAAAGTTCTTGGCTTGAATAGGGTGGGGAGTTGGATGGAGAAGGAAAAAACCTGTGCACTTCATGTGAAGGATAAGCCTGAAAACTCTACTTTCTGAAGTACTAAAGAGACATGAGAGCCTAAGTAGCAGCAGTTTCCCTGAGGCTTTAAAGGGCGTATAATGTGCCAATTATGGTGGAGTGCCATGACTAGTGAGAGACAGTAACTAAGCTGAGACCCACTATGTTCTTGATGTCAAAGATTTTTCTATTTTATAATTAAGGTCTTGGCTTCATGTCTTCTTGATCATTTACAAGTTGTTCTTCATTTTTTACAAACCTTATAAGAGAATGGGTGGGAGGAATCATGAAAAGTTTGAACCCAATACTTCTTAGGAAGGGATGAGAGAGGACCTTACTCAGGTTAGTGTTGGATGGGCACTGGCACAGGCACAGGCATTGATGTCCGAAACGTCTAGGCTATTGAGTACTCCTAGAATGCCGATATGGCAGGACACATACACAAAATTAGACTTTGAAATAAAATAATAGATTTTCCTATTAGAAATGATAGAATTTCCTTCCTTCTACATGTGAACGCTTGGTATGGTGGCAGAGCGGTATTGCCTTTACAAAATCCCTGAGTTTAAACTCAATTCTGACTCATTTTATTTCATTTTTTTTATTGATTTATTCTAACCTACATCTGGAGGTGACAACACCTGTCAAATGTGATACCAGCCCTATGCTGGGGTGTCAGCCTAACACTGCTTAAGGAGATCTAGCAATCTACTTTAAATTCCTTTCCTTCACTTGCTCATCATCTAGTCTCAAATTCATTTCCTTCATTGCCACAATGTCTTTTATGTGGTGTTAGAGGTAATTGGTGTAGCACCTGAAGGTGACACCTTGCATCTTTGCTACATTTAGTTTTACTCCCCCCCCCTTCTTTTCTCCCCCCTTCCCCAAGTATTACTCATCATCCCAACATATCTTTTGTCATAAGCTTCCTAATGCCCCAAAACCTGAGTGATGCCACATCTAGGCTTGTAGAAACCAATGTGTAATTTCTAAATTGGTCAATAGCATTTCGAGGTATCTTCCTTTTTAAGCGTAACTGAAATCTTTCATCACTAGGTGTACTGATGATATGATAGCGAGATTTTGATCACTTGGCTTAGAAGTTCAATTAAAAGTTTTTATCCTTTATTAGGAAAATAATACTTAAAAACCGTTTCTTTATGTTGATGCCATGAGGGGTGATGTGACACTAACATCACCCTAACACCATAGTCTGAGGTGTATGTGGCCTTCAACTCTTTATTGAAAGACCATGCAATCCCATGTTTTTTACATGATATAAATGACACCGCTCCATATTATTTAGTCTAACCTGTGCATCATTGATGGATTGATAGATAGATAGATCCAATAAAGAGATAAGTAGATAAATAGATACTTTGGATAGCTAGATACAGATATAGATAGAGTTACAACCACAAACACATGCACAGCACATGTATAGATAGGGTTACAACCACAAACACATGCACAGCACCACAGACATATACATTCATTACTTGAGGGTCATAGAGTGAAGATTTTTCAGGTTTTATTGAGGAATTCAGTGTATGCACCAGGGAAGTTTTTATTCAAGTGCCTTTTCAATAGCTAAGTTCTTTTTGTTTTCATCACTCTGTGTCTCATCTTATACTTCTCCATCAAATAATAGTGATTTAATGGTTTCTCATTTTGCATCCTCTTAACTCCATTTAGATTGCTCACTTTAAAAAAAAAACTCCATTAGACTGCTAATTATGGAGCCATTAGTAGTAAGACTAGGCGGTCCTAGAAGTTCCATCATCAGATTCCTTGCGACTTCTAGTTTTTGCCCTTGCTGATGGCTCCAAACGAGGAGCATTTTGCTCGTCCCTTTCCCATCATATTGGACTTTTTCTTGTTTTCTTATTCAATTAAGTGTGTACCCTGGAACCATTACTTATGTTTCTTCCCTGTTTAATATCTTACTCCGAAACTATTGCTTATGTTTCTTCCCTGTTTAATATCTTACCCATGAAATTCAAATTTGGAGTATGATTGGATATATGAGAGAGAGAGAGAGAGAGAGAGAGAGAGAGAGAGAGAGAGAGAGAGAGAGAGAGAGAGAGAGAG